ATATATATATATATATATATATATATATATTTATATATATATATATATTTACTATTTATTTATTATGTTTTCTTTTTCTAATATTTAATATGTCCTTTTAAATTAAATTTAAGAAATATTAAAGATTACTTCTATTAATCTATAATAATTTAATGGATAATATAAACATATTCTTTTAATTTAATAAAAAAACCTTGCTATAAAAAATGAACTATTTTAATAATTTTTTAATTATTATATAACAACTTGTAAAATATTAATTTATTCCTAATCATCTATATATTAAATATAATTATCTATTAATATATGTGTAAGTAATGCCCCTAAAGATTTATTAAAGCAAGTACTAAATCTAGAATCAGTTTAAATTCCTAATTTGCATATAAAAAGAAACTAAAAAAATAAAAAAAAAATATAATTATGTTTTTATGACTTATTCTGATATTTTTTTATTTTATTGTTCTTTTTTTTTATTTTATTGTAAAAAAAAAAAAAAAAAAATGAAAAAATTATAAAAAAATTAAAAAAAAAATCAGAACAAGTAATATATTTGATTAAATTATTACTTTATTTAAATAATATAAATTATTTTAAACTAATAAATCTGGAAAATATTTAATAATATTATAAATAACTTTAAATATTTCATATGTGATAATTTTTTCTTGATTATAAACATTTTAAAGAGAGTCTAAATTTTACAAATACAGACAACTAACATCGTTTTTACAAATTTCAATTTAATTAATAAATATCTTTAAAATTTCTTCCATATAATTAATTTTTTTTCCTTATTAAAGTAAATTATATAAAGGAATAAGTTTCATAGTAATAATAAGTTTGCTTTCTGAATTTAAAAAATTCCATTTAGTAATTACCTAAAGTATTTTTAAAGGAAATTTAATTCCATCCATATGGATTTTGCTTTTAATAGTTTCCTATTCTTCAATACTTATAATTTTTCCAACAAGAAGTTCTATAGTGGACCCTATATCTTTCTAGTCTAAAAAAATATCTTCTTTAAAAAAATAAATAATAATATTCAAGCATTCAAAAAATATCGAATCTTGATTTGCGTAAATTTAACTAATCATTTAATGGAACAAAATCTTTGAATAAATTCTTATCACAGGTTTATTTTGTTTATTTTTAATAATATCATATACACATTTTTACGAAAGGACAATTAGTCCTTTATTTTTTACTTTTTGATGGTCCATAGAAATAACAAGTTGATTCAAAAAATCTTAATAAAGTGATTGTTTTTAATTTATATAAGAACTGTCTTATAAAAAAGTAAATAATAAAAGAAATTGGCCTTTTATAAATTCACTAATTTAGTTTTCGTTTTTTTTTAATATTTCGATAATTTATTCGAAAAAATTTGATATTAAATACATTAAATCAGGCCTTTTTCTTATTTGTTTTCGTAAACATATTAGAGATATTAATGAAGCATATTATTATTATTCTATATCATAATTTTATATAAAATGGGAATTTTAAGCTATATTTAATGTCTTTATTTATATATATTAAAATTCATATATATATATATATATATATATATATATATATATATATATATATATATATATATATATCATTTATATTTACTTAATATATATCTAAATTTTATTATCTACAAACTGATTAATGGAATAATTCTAAGAAAAATTAAGTGAAAAAATATAATGCTCCGTCTATATATTTACAGAATTATTAAAAAAATAAAGAAGCGTTTATTTTTAAATTTGATTTGTCTTATTATAAAAGGAACTCATGTAAATTTTACATATAATTTAAAGGCAATTTTTCAAAATCTTCTTTTTCTAAAGAATCATAAATCATTTAAGGTGTTATATAATGAAAAATAATATTTAGTCTTTCATCGTAAAAGAATTTTTAAAATTTGTATATTGCCAAAGACTTTTTTAATAGCTTTAATATTTAGCATTTGACTAATTGTATTTTATATTCGTTATAAAAATCTTTATAATTTAATAAAAAAATATCTAACTAATTTAATGAAATTAATAACTATTATAATAAATTTCTATTTTTTTTATTTATATTAAATAAAATATATGATAAAATCCATTTTATTTAAAAAAATATATATATAAATAAATATTAACCTTAAGAATTAAATAAAAACTAAATTATCAGATATTTCGTCAAAAAATGAATCTTTTTAAAAAAATAAATAAGTATTAATCAAATTTTACACAATTTTTAAACACAAAATTAAATTATTATTTAAAATATTATCAAGTTCATATTAGGTACAAAAAGAAATTACACAATTTTATATTTATTCTTATACAAACAGTTTTTATTAAATAATTTAATTTAAAATTTACATAAACTAAGTATTATTTAAAAAATATTAAATACTGTATTAATCCTTTAAATAATTTAATTTATTTCCCGAAACTATTAAAATATGAAATATTTAACACCATATTTCTATATAAGATAATATCCTTAATTAAACTGCTGCCGACAATTTAAATCTGTCGAGTGATTTTTCAGTAAAAACATCATCTTCTTCATCATTTTATTTTTCTTTTTTTTCTTATTCGTGTAATTAATCTATCTAAAGAGAAAAAAAATAGAATATTATTTTTTTCTTTTAATAAATTTACTTATTAAGCATATTAATTTAAATAAATTTTACAACTTTATGTTAAAAAGTCTCCAATATTAAGTAAGTATTTAAAAAGTTAATTAATTAAATAATCATATATTTATTTAGAAATTTCAGATTATAAAATAACTTAAAAATAAAACAAAGAATTAATTTAAACATCTTAATTTTAAATTTCTTAATTAATTTTTATTTTTTCACATAAACTTAAAATAAAAGATTCTTATTTTTTTATTGTTTTTTTTTTATAATAAATAAAAATAACCTTTTTGATAATTTAATATATTTGATAATGATTTGCATATATGATATTTTAAATATATTGATATATTATTATTTAATAGTAATTGCATTATATTTTCAATTATTGTCAATTATTTTTATTCACATAAATAATTCTTATCTAATATATTATGTATTTATCCTAATTATAATGCTGCAGCTACTTTTATTTATTCTATATATATACATATATATAAATATTAAGTATGTTATATATATATTATTTTTATAACCTTAATTATTAATATTTGCATTATTTTCATTTATTATTTATATTAAGTTATATACTGTTAATTCAAAGTTTTTTTGTAATTCTTTAAAAATACGTTCTTCTGGTTAATGATTGATGTTATTATTTTATGAATGAAATGTCATTTCTAATAATTTAATTAATTCTTGTGTATTTAATCTTTTATCTTCATCTTTTTATTTATTATAATAAAACCAAATAATTATTTTTTATTAATTTAAAAAAATAAAAAATAAACCAAATTTATTAAATTATTATTTTAAACTATTTTTTTCATTTTTTTTTATGTTCTTTTTAATATTTTTTTTTTATATATTAAAATAATTATTATTGTATTTTTTCGAAATATATAAAATAAAGTTTATATATTTCGAAAATATATATATATATATATAAATAAATAAAAAAAATTAAATAAATAAAAATATTTAAAAATTGATGAATATATAAAATATAAATATTATTAATTTTTTAGGAATATTTAATAAATATAATTAAAAAAATAATTTTAATTTTATATAACTATTTATATTAAATAAAAATTTTGTAATTTAAAAAAAGATATTTTAATATATAATATTTTTAAATAAAATCTATATGAATATATATATATAAATATATATAACATATATATATATATATATTTATATATTAATTTATATTTTTCATACTAATTATTTTTATTAATATTTTTTATAAATTATTTATTATTATAATTTTTTGTATCTTTTTTTTATATTTAATTTTATAAATTACATTCATTTAAATTTGTTTTTTGCTATATTAACTTGAATAATTTTTTTAAAAAAATCTTACCAAAAAAATACAATAACATTGTATAAAATATATGTAGAATATATTTATATATTAAATAAATGTTAAAATAAACAAATCATTTCTTTGATATAGGTTTAAGTATATTTTCAGGGTAATTATAATTATTTAAATTAATTTGAACTCCATTGATTTTTTCATCATTATCAACTTAACTTTCATTACCACTACTTTATTCCATATTATTAATTTATGAATTCAGTATTATTGTGTCTCTAGTTTTTCTTTATTAAAATTACATTTTACTTAATTTATCTTATTCATCACAAATGTTATTATTAAAAGATATTTCTGGAGTTTTTTTAAAATCTATTAATTTTTATATTTAAAATTTTTTATCATTATTTCTTTTAGTAAATTGCATATTCTTAACTATACAATCATTCATTGTAGCGTCCTAAAAAGGACTATGAGATGGCCTTAATTAATTATTTTCCGCCTAAGTATTAAGTTAAGTATTTTTATTCTTAATTTTCTAATTAATCATTTATTGTTCCGAAGAAATAATTTCTTTTAATAATTTTTACTTACTTTAGTGATATTTCGACTACTATTACAAATACACTGACCTTTAATTAATAATCTTTTCCTGTCTTTCTATATAATTGCTCTAAATTTACATAAATCTGACCTTCTAACACTCTTGGATTGCATTCTGTAAATTATCGCTTAATATTTTCCACAATTTAAGCCTTCTAAAGCCCTTTTTTTCATCCTTATTTTACTTCAAAAATTCCATATTTTTCAAACAAGGACACTTTATAATAAGAACCCTAAATCTATTAAAATTAAGTTTAATAAAAGCCAATTTTTACAATAAAATTGTACTAAAAAGATACACAAAAGTAATCATATTAATAACTACAATAATCAATTTAATTGCCATATCATAACTACCTACATATTTCTCTCCAATATCTTTCAAAAGAGAGTTAAAAAACAATTAACTATAACAAGAAATAATAATAAACTTATCCACTTAATTCATATGTTGGGTTTCATAAGGCTAGTTTATAGTAATAAGCACATAATAGGTAAAAAAAACTAACCCTATAGCCAAAAACTAAGTCACTGGTTATTCCGTAAGTATATTAGAGCAGGAAACAATGAGAATTCTCATATATAATTTCACTATTTCCCAATATATACATTTTTATTTATATTCGAGGTAGAAAAAGCCATATTTATATTGAATGTGTATTAAATTCATGTTTTTAATATTTCTTAAACATTTATATATGTAATAAGGTACAACTGCAATCCAGAAAAAAAAGCCTATAGAGCATACTATTAAGACTAAAAAATGTTCTTAATTATAACATTACAATGTAATATCGGCAGTTACATATTTTATTCCGGCTATATTTCTACAAGAGATTGTTTTTATTATAAATTATACCATACTAGGCTAAAATAAAGTAAAAGAAAATAAAAATAAAGTATATAGCTTCATCATCAGTATTTTCCAAGTTAATGAATTTTTCTTTTAAACAAAAGCGTTTATACAATAAACTATACAAATCCACAAATAGGCGATTATGGGAAGTAAGAAACTTACTACGGCCTTCACTAATAGTTTATTTTAATATTTGAAAATTTAACAATCACTTGCGTTGTTTAAATTACCTACTGGTTCTCCTAAAAAACCAGTTATATTTAAAAATACGAAATCAAAACGAAATTTATTTATATTATTCTATATTAATACATAACTCATCAAAAACTTTAAATAAGTAGATGATTAGTCTCTTTATGCACTATTACCGAAACTTATCATGCCCATTTGACGTAAATAGTATACTGTAGCTTTCTTTTGGTAGATCATAAAGAATATCTATAAAGTAATTAATACATAAAAGTTTAAACCTAAAAATAATAACACCCATCTTGCATAAGTTCGGAAATAATCATTACACGGAGCACAATCATAATCACCTGTACTAGAATAAGAAATATCCCATTTTTCACCTTTATATATATATATATATATATATATATATATATTTATATTATTTATATATATTTATATATATTTATATAAATTAATACCTAAAACATCACATTATTCACATAAAGGTCCTATGTGTCCTAATAAACATTAATTTGGTTCTTATGGAAGACAGTTTTCGGGTTTATTTTCACAGTAATCAATTAAATCATAATCATTTCCTAATCTCCAATATCCATCTTTTAAAACAATAGTATTGTTTGCACATTCTCTAGCTTTATCAAAAGGACATTATTTGCATTCTTATTTGACATTATTTAAGGGTTCAATTAATGAATAAGAACCGGAAAGACATTAATAGCAAATTTATTTAGTTTATGTAATATTTTAGTAGATTTCTCCTTATATACATTTCCTGAAATACATATTGATTTAAATCACGAATTTTTAAGTAAGTATATTTTATGAAGATAATTAATTATTATTATTAGTTGATTTTAATAATAAATAGGAAGGAATCTGGAAGTTATTATTTGTACTGATATATATTTTACCATTTTAATTAGGTTAGGAGATAATATTAATATTCGAGATTTTTATTTTCTATATTTTATCAATAAAATCATTTATTTTTAATATATTATTTCCCTCAATGAATATTTTCTAACTATCTCCCTATATCTATAGATAAAACTTCGAAAACTCCTCGTTTATACTCTAAGGATATTCTTAATTTAAGAACATTTTAGTTAAATTAATCTTTACTTTTTCCCCTTCTTCATCTATTAAATCGAATATAAGTTCTAAATTCGAACCACTCTTAAAATTTTTGATTTCATAAAGGCTTAAAATTCCCTCTTATTAATTAAAAGACTCTTCCAGTAAATTCACATTATTAATAAATGCCCCCTTTAGATACGACCCGTAATTCTTCCCGAAAATCTCGCATTGGTTATTCTTGAAAGTCACTTCTTTTTATATTTCCCCTATAAATTAAGGAACTAAATCAAAATATCTAATAGCACCTCCTATAGATGCTTTATTATTCAAAAAAGAGCATTATTTAAGTACTAAGTTACATTATTTTATCAATATAGCACCTCCACTGCCTACACATGAATTATTATTTAAAGAACTTTCTTATATAAGGTTATTTCCTTTAATACACTTAGTAATATATATAGCACCTCCATTTATAGCATTATTATTGATAAAAGTGGAAGATTGGATAAGAATTTCGGAAGATTAAATAATATATATGACGCTTCCATGGCAAATAAAACATGAGTTATTATTTGAAATTAATTTATTTATTGATATTTTTCTAGCCTGTATATATATAATAGAGTATAAAGTCACATTATTATCACAAAAAAAGGATTCTATATATATTTCAGAATTGTCTATTTTTTAAAGCATATTACCTATTTATATATATTAAACACATTTTATAAAGGAAATGTTCTAGCATTATTTAAAGGTCATTTTTTATATATTTACATTCAAAATTTTCTATATGTAAATCACATGATTGGTATTTTCGTTGAAAAAATCGTCTGTTTATTCAATTATTTTTAATTCTTTGGTTTATAAATTTCTTATTTTTAAAAAACTCTGAATTTATTCTTTGTTTTGCTTTATGTCTTATATATGGAAATTAGAAAATTACAAAATTTATATATCTTTAAGCCAAATTAAGGGATTTCTACCTAATTCTATTGTAGAATTTTATATATATAGTTCATCTATGGTTATATTTTATATTTATTATAATTAAAAAAGCACTGAATCGTAAATAATGCAATTATTTATGTTTATATTGGAAAATTAAACAGTATGAATGTCAAAAATATCAAAAAAAATACTATTCTTTAAGGTAATTCCGACAATAACCAAATTATTAATTTTAAGAGTTTTTTTATTGTAAATTTTAAAAGAAACATTATTTAAAGTATCTGAATCTATCAAAATTTAATCAATGAAAATACTTTAAGTATCATCAGAAAATTTAATATTGTCTAAATTGTCTTTTAGTTTAAATTTAAAATTTTATAAAGTTAATTTTTATAATTTAAGATTTATAAAAAATTCATTTTTCAAATATAAAAGTTAATTTTCAGTTGTTTGAGTAGTATATTACAAAGATAAATTATTAGAAAAATCAGTTTAAAAATCACTCAAAACTAGTAATTAATCATTTATAAATGAATCTAATTATAAATCTAAATAATAAAATTTTGTTTTCTATATAGATATTTTATTATATTTTGATCTTAATTATAATTAACTCTTTATTAAATCAAATTTATAAAAACATGAGTTACTATTATTAATATATTCATTAAAAAATCCTTCTTTTCCTACTCCTTTAATATTAAAATTACCATTAATCTATTTAATATATATATGTTAATTATACAAATATATATAAAATTATATATATATATATATATATATATATTTATATAATTATATTTTCTTTATTTTAAACATATTTTTTATAAATTACATCTATTTCTGAATTATATACTGTTGCTTATGTTATATTAATTGTTTTTATTAGTTTGAATTCTGAGAAAGTTAAAATATTAACTTAGTTTTATTATATTATAATTAAAATTTATTATTATACAAGCAATAAATTAATTATTTTGTTAACTATGTAAATTTTCCTAAATGAAAATTTAAAAGTAAGATCACTTCTTAAATGAAAATTTATTTAAAACCTCGAATAAATTAACACATAATTATCAATTAATAAAAAATTAATATATAAATTACTATTACATCCTACTATTCTAAACTACTCTTATATATTTAATGTATTAAAAACATAAACATGATCCAAAAACTGGAAATGAACGAAGATATTATTATATAAACTATCGTAAACTGAGCTTTCTACCAAAACTCTTTCACTTAAATTACCAAAACTATTTTAAAATACTAAATGAAACTATGAATCGTATACAAATATAGCTTTTTATTCTATTAAAAAATACTAAGAATTAATTAAATAAATTTTATTAACAGTTAATATTTTTTCATTTATGATTTAATTATTATTTTATTATTATTAGATATTTATTTTAATAGAACTACCTTATCTATCTGAAATTAAGAATTCCTAATTATTTAACATTTCCATAGACACAATTAATTATTAAATAGAATCAATTAAAATTCTATGATTATTTTTCAAAAAGCCATTTAAATTTGAAATACCTAAACTCAGATCAATTAAAAAAACGACATTTTATTCATTACTATATACGAAATTATTTTCGTTTAATTTCAAAGCTATTCTTATTTTTTATTAATATTTCAAGACTACACTAAAATTATTTATATCTAATATATATATATGTTATTCGCAAAAAATAATGTAGTATTTATCATTATAATCGAATAGTTTTGTCATAGAATCTAAAAACATTATATATTTCTATTAATTATTTACAAATTACCATAAATAATTCTATAAATCTATAAATAAAATGCTCTAGTTTTTATTTTCCTAGAATATACTATAATATTTATACATATAACCCACATTAATCTAAAATCCAGATCCTAAAAAACAGTATAAATTCCACTTATAGACGCTATCAATATCATAAACGATTAAACTATTCAATTATTTATCTAGATAAATGTTACTATTAGACTAAATAGCCCCGTTATTTTATACTTCCACCTCCATTCTACCCCTAACAATATCAATTTAATTACTTTAAGTAAAATCCAGTCTATATACCTACCTACTAGTATTATATACATAGAAGACTTTCTCATCATCATCATACAAAAACCCCATCATTGGGTTTTCGCTCAAATTAATCCTCAAAGTTTACGTTTACAAATTCATATCGAAGATCTACAACTATCCAATCTAATTAAAAAGTCTTGAAATCAATAAAATAAGGTTTTTATCTTAAAAATATGCTGCTTTTTAAACCTAGAAATCAACTAAAGCATACTCTTTTAAAACTAACAGCATTTTATCAATTAAAAGCATTGTATCAGGACATATTAAAAGTATACCCCAATCATTATTTTCTATTATAAAAATCTCCAAAATCTATATAATTAAACAATTTATTTTTGCTGTATTTTATTTCCTTATTCCTATATCATCGTAACTATATGTAGTATAAAGTATAGATCCAGTTGTTTATTTCTAGAATTATTAAAAGACTAGAAAATCGAAAAGTTTTATCACGAAAAAATTCTTTTAAGAAGCTAAGTTTTCTGTTATTAAAAGTTAAATTACTTGTCCTTATTAAAGTACTGAATATATAAAATGATTATTTGTTGTGGTTATGATTTATAGTTATTTATGTGTTTGTATAGATATTAAAATTTCAGGGATTATTGTTTATATACACATTATATCTATTGCAGTATATTTACATGTCCAGAAATTCTTATCGTTTATTCCATATAGGATTATTATATTAGGAAGAACAGTTTAATTTATGGGCAAAATATTTGTTATGGGAGTTTTTATAGTGTAAGTTTTTATTATTTGGTAACTTTTTAAATGGAGAATTTATAAGTTATTCTCTATTAAAGTGTTTTTGGTTAAAAAAATACATATTTTTAACATATTGTCTATATAGGCGTCTTATATATTTTAAATTTAAAGTTATTTAGTTGTTTTATCGTAGAAATTATGGAATTCTATTGTTTATTAACGAATTATTATTTGATTTAAATTCAAATCATCATATACTACCCTTAATATATTATTTTAACTTTATTAACTTAATATAGTATAATATCTTTCATTAAATTAAGCTTTCATTAAATAATACTTTTTTAAATATATATATATATATATATATATATATATATATTTATATATATATATATAAACATATATACTTCTCCTATATTTAATAAACCCTAATCCGAAAAATCATTAGTTCTACTTTCAAAAAAGAATGTATTACTTCTCAAATCAAATTATAAATTAAAAGGTTTGTCTGAATATTCCCTTTTATAACTCATTTATAAAAAAACCTTGCTAAAATTCGGACTAAACATATATTAATTAATAAAATACTTATTTCCTATATTCTCAAGTAAAATAAATGCTAAATTATTCAAATAGTATAAATCTATTACATTATAACTTAATCCAAAGTTAGAAACAGTACTTCTAGTATATACATATAAATTAAAATTTACGCCCTAAATACAATCTTGGCAGATTAACATAAGTGTATTTTCATCAATAGCCGCGATTCTGAAAACAGTCCCTGCTTAATTTACTAGATTTTATTAGAAAACTATATTTAGTTTATCATCTAAATAGCTAATCTAGTTCCCCTATATAATACTAAATCTATTTTAAATAAATTAAATAACTAAAGTACTATAAGCCTTTGGAAAAACAGTAAATACGGAAGAAACGGGCTTAA